TTATTCTTCCGACGTCTGATTTCTTTTTAATTATAGGAAATGCGTTTTTCTAAGGTACATAAACTTTTGGGATTGATTATATAGCCAATACATCCTTAATCATACGAACGTATAGTGCGTCACGGAGTCGCATACCACTATAGCGATGCGTATTTGTCTATGTTTCTATGGGGGCCAAAATACAATGAATTAGATGTATATAATTACGCTTAGTTTTTTTGCTGTGAAAAAAGTATACATGAACGTGACATCGAATGGTATTCTGAGTAAGGATCGTCACATTCAAGCTTAAGTTCTAAAATTGGAAATCGACAGATTTTCGACTTTCGTCAGTCGAATAATGCATGCATCATGAAAAATCATAATGTTAAAGGTTGTTCCGGAACTACGATTAATAAGTCGATTTCATCGTTGTTTTCATTGAATCGAAACGTTGAAACGCGGGATGTGATAGCAATGAGGGAAAGCAATATAAAAGGCAGATAATCATATCGGGGATGAAACACCATTGTATAAATAGAGTATTAATTTGCGCATGGGAGTAATGTTGTTAGTACGCTCCGATGCAATTAGGCCGTTATATTGGCGCTTCGCGATAGGTACTCCGGTCGTGTGTCGATCTCCGTAATGTTGATTACTGTACATATTTGATCGCATTCGTTGAATTATTGAAACTAATCTGTCGAAATCACGTAATAGGCGCGCGTGCTCTGTTAGATATTGTTGTTTGTCAACCGCGACACGATGATACGCAGATATGTCAGCTGTTCGCGGCTCGATAAACGTTCCTCGTTTCGTATCCTCTCAGGGACGATAATAAGAAAGTATCAACTTGCAGTAATTTTATAATACTTAATACTTTAACGGTATTTCGTAAAAAAGGGAGACGGAAGAAATATCTCCAACTTTCATTTTTTTAACAATGCGCGACAGTGCTTCAGAGAATCAAATTACATCGCAAAAATCTGTGTTTCATTAAAAGCACATTTTACGTTAAAAATGTGATAAAAAATTACGAGAACACTTTCGGAGTGCGAATAATTGGAATTACAGCACGACCCGATAGTGAATTCAACAAATTGCGCGTTAAACACACGTTTCGCAGACGTGAAAAAGGATGATTATGGAACGTTTCAATATCGAAACGAGTTTTATGATGTTTCGTCTGTTGTGCTCTTTCTTTCATACGTAGTCATTGTGGCACGCGTCACGTGGCCGTCGTCGGTGCACTTGCGAATCGATTTAATCGACGCGCATTAATGAGTGACTCTTTGATGTACCTAAGTACATATGTATGTATGTATGTATGTACACGCCTTCGAAAACGCACGATTCACGTGCTCGTCGTGTCGCAACGCCCGTCTCGCGTTGCGGCCGCTACGTTAACCCTGAAATTTCATGACATTTGCACAGCGTTTTCGTGACTCGACACTATGCGTGATCGGTTGGACGATTTTTCAATCAATTCCTCAAATTATCGGATATACGCGCGCATCGAAATTCGCACGTCGCGGTGTTCAATACTCTTGTTCTCCTTTGAAAACGACACTGTCACGCGTTGTTAACTAACTGCAACGATGCTTCGATATTGTATTATGAAGTTATAATTTTAAACGTTAATTAATAGTATAGAAATGAATTGTACAATTATGTGTATACTTGGCATGTTTATTTCATTAATACATCGACTCTAAGTTAACATCAGACTGATGACTCGTTTGCGTTACACATTCTTTTAGACTGAGATCGCTAAGAGGTTGAACGCAATAATCGTCCAGCTACTACCGTTCTTGGCACAAGAGGTGAGTCTTTGACTTTCTGTTTGGCACGCGTGCCGTACAATTTCACAATCGAGAGTGACAACGACGCGATAATGATAGCATGGCTTGCAGCATCAGCAGCAGGTGGCCAATGCGGTAGAGAGGGCGAAGCAAGTCACGATGTCCGAACTGAACGCTATAATCGGGGTGAGCCTCTTTACCATTGATTCCTACCTCATTAACTTTATCACTTTTGGCAAATGGCTGGACATTGGATCTTGGCATAGCGAATAGTGCTTTTTGTTCGAGCTGCTCGCTTTTAAATTCGATTCTTCAACGCAATCCAAGAATGATAATAGCTTAATTAATATTGGCTTTGTCCTTTTGCAGCAACAACAACAACAGGGTTTACAGCAGTTACTGGTAAGTTCTATTTTGTCCTAACATATATATACTAAAACGACGAATGAGAATAAAAATATTTAAGAATACAAGTTAGAACATTTAAAAGATATAGTTTTTAATTAATAAGCGCCATATGCAGTCAGGTTTTTTATTGTTACAGCGATGTCTATCCGTTCATATGGATGTGCGTAATAAAATTTTTATAGTAATTCTTATTATGAAAGAGTTGAACGAGGAGGAACGTAGAGAAACATTTTTTAACGTTTTCTGAGGCCCAAATCGGAACTTGCCAATTTATGCAGTAGCGATATAAAATTAGGTTAACTCGTTTGAAGAGGGTCGCTGTGGCTCTTGAGCAAGCGTGAATGCACAATCATTAAAACATTTATTTCACGCTGATACCGTGTTTCTTATTTCGTAATTGGGTCACCGCTTTATACACATTAATTCAAACGATATAAAGATATTCCAAGTAATTTCTGCGGCAACGTAAGAATCATTAACGCGTCCCGTTGTACACGTGAATTTTATTTGTACTGGAATTATAGATGAGCAGAAATTTGTAACAATATCAGATGAGATTTAATTGATGCTCATATGTTCTACATGTTAGGTCTTAGGAGAGGCTCGACTTTACCATTGCCAATTAATACATTGCATACGTCATTCTCTTCGTTGTGACATTAAGTACTCATGACTTTCATTTTTTATGGAAACGACAAATTTGCAAGGTACATCCAAAAAAAACATGTTTTTGCGCACATCCTACAAAATGCCTATTTATGCCAAAAATTAAAAGTTGTATTCATATACTAGTCCAAATAAAAAGAAGGACGTAAGAAGATTGGGTATGCAACAGTAAGGTCTTAGCGTTGAAAATCGTATAGCAGGTTTAAAAAAAAAAAGGTTGTGTTCCATAAAGGGAAAGGTAACGGTAGCAATTGTTGCGTGTTACAGCAACAGATTCACGCGCAGCAGCTGCCACACGGTGCGGTGGTCGGCGGTCTCCCACCGGCGGGGCTGTTGGGGTTCGCGGGTGCGGCGGCGGCAGCAGCGGCCGCGGGGGTGCCACCTCATCTGGCTCCGCCGCCTCATCCGGCGGCCGCGGCTGCGGTTCAAGCACAGGCGCAAGCGCTTCTGAAACCATCGGACCTGCAGCAGCATCGGGTGGTGGCGGAGACGCCCGAGGATCGTAAACCGATCGCGCTCACCGACGAGAGGCTCAGGCGATCCGTGTCACCGCCGGAGAAATTTCGTAGCCGTACTCCCGACCTCGAGACCGATCCTAAGAGGCGGAAGGAGGAGAAGCTCGGACACGTGAGTCTAAATCTTTTACTTTATGGAAACTCGCGCCCCGGTACACTCGTACCGTGCCACCGCGCGATGCTGGAGCTCCTGTTTTTAAGTGAACGCGCGCAACCTTCGATCCACCTGTTACGCGCCATTTAAGAATACGCGCATCCCCCCTCGAAAGTATCTCGCCTCATCGTCTCACTTAATGCTATTCCAGAGAGACTTGTCCGTGATTATCTTGTATTAATGGGATCCTTTTAGAAACAACTTTTAAGAAAATATCTGATTTTTGCATATACTACTAAGAAATGCAAACAATTGTTGAATGATTTTTATCATTCATAAAGATAAAATGCATCACTAGATTATTGATAAGATGATAGCAACATTTATTTTATTTAATGATATTTAAAAGTATCAAGCATGATCTGAATACTGAACTTACGCTGTACGAGACGAGAATTGTTGGAGATGAATATAGCTTACTTTATCAGGAAATGGGTTGAATAAAATTGTGATGTGATCCTGAATGAAAATATTTTTATATTATACCAATTTGATACACGTATTCTGGTCGTCTGTCGTCGGATATATTCCACGGGTTATCTAGGCCATTCAAAATCGAGACAAATAAAATTCAAGTGTCAATATTACTCTACTGGCGTTGTATTTCACTCAGCAATGATAAAGATAGAAAACGATCTAATATTATAGCTTCTTTATGGAACTAAAGAATATCTAGACGGAAAGTATGTTGTCAACACATTGATAGTAAAAGTATTAGATATTGTATTATAAAGAAAATTGATAACATAACGTGATAATTAGATAGAAATATGCATCTTCGTTTTGTATCGAAAATTATATCACTTTTTGTAAAAAATAGACACAGGTTCGTTATTTGTTAATAATAGGTGTCGCATATTCTTACATTTATTCTCTTCGTAATGAATGTACCAGGCAAACAGAATAAGATTTATCTCGAAAGATTCGCAAAACAGACAGAAAGAAGTAAATAAGAGAAAAGAGAGTTGCCTAAAAATTGGATTACTCCGACCAATGGAAAAGCGAGGTAAACGCTGCTGTGTGTAGCATTTGGAAGTCGAGGCTTGCAACAAGCAGTCGAGAGTCGCGCGAATTTCACCTCGTCCCCGTGGTTCCGTGAAATATCCATGAAAACTGGTTCCTTTGTCAGAATCGCGACGACAAAGTATGTTGCGCGCGCGTGCGAGCGGGAAGACGCGTAATTAAAAACCGTGAAAACAGGTGAACTCTGCTTGGTTCTGTCGTTTCTCTCTTCCTCTCTCTCTCTCTCTCTCCCTCTCTCTTTCTCGCTCGCTCGCTCGTTCGTTAAATTGGATTATTTTTCTCAACCCGTTCCGTCCCTTCACCTGAAGTAAGAGGTACAGCAGGAAGTAAGGGAGGGAACTGCTACGTCCGGAGCGTTTCCCTCTACCTGGTTGCGCTTCCCGACGATTAAAATACTCTTTCGCGAGTGTACACTTCCTGGAGGGGTTATAGCGTTGTTTTAAGATCAATGAGAGTAAAGTGCTATTATTGATGAAACATTTTTTTCTTATCACGGGAATAATTTTGTTATAAAACTAATGATGGAAATAATTGATGCGATCTTAAATCTTCATTATTTAATTGTACTCTTTGTCCACAATAGAAGCAAAATTTCTGTAAATATAAATTTGATCTAATAGAAATAGAATGAAGTATGAGAGCTATACTCATATATGTAGAAAAAATATCCACAATATCTCATAAAATACCAGATCTTACAATGTCATTTAGTTTTGTCAGTTAAGAGATCAGTTTACAGACCTTGCTATATTAATTCCGCTAACTGTACTTGTTTCTCGCGTAATCTCTATTCTCTTGCTTCTACCTTTTCGCTTCTCAGCCTCCGATTTCCATTTGAGCGCACTTTCGTTTCGTTCTCCCGAGTCCTTTCGTTGGACCCCGAACGCCGTTTTCTCTCGTCGCCGGTAAAGTGACGAGCGTCGCCTAAATACGCGTCGCGACGTTGTTAGAAGCGTCGGAGGAAAGCGCAAACGGAATCGTCGCTTTTCCTCTCGCTATTCGGTACGTTCCGCCGCGACGAATTCAGCCCCGTAGAAATTAAAGGGACTGCAGCGTCTCGGATTACTCGGGTTCTTTAAATTTTTACGGCTAAGGGTATAAATGGTCATTCATGCTCGCGCACGCTACCTACCCATCCTAGAACGGGAGCGTAATTAGCACGCTAGGGTAGTAGTGAATGCGCGATATCTTGCGAGTCCACTTGCCATGTAAACGTAAACGCGTAGGTACCTACTCTTCGGTTTTGTTCAGATAATTCGAAATCCGTTTTTCTTTTCCTCTATTTATTTTAACTTTATTAGAGTTTTACTTTCTTAATGCGTTTATTTTATAATCAGCATTTCTCTAAACATGTTCTTGACCGTTTAAGAAAGATTCGCGAATCATAAATCTTTTTTTTTTTAATCTGTATTTCGTTTCCATTTACTCGACAATTCGCACGCTACGTAAAGTTTCATGTTCGTACAACATCGCAACATGTTGACGTTTTTCACAGTCAGAAATTTTTGAGTTCTTGGAAAGCGTTTATATAGACGTCCTCATTATTCACGTGCTCCTCGCCACTACCCAGCTCGAAATCGCGTGCCAGAGCTGATAAAAATTAAAATACAGTATACATATAAAGTATAGTATCGTAAGCTAGGAACGCGAAATTCGCGTTGCGTTTCTCACTCACTTGTTTGCCTCAGTAAAAAGAGTGTGGCATCGATTTGACTTTAGATCAATTGAAAAATAAAAGAATATTAAACATTAATTAGTGTATTGATTGTTAAACAGTTTAATCTTACTGTTTTGAATTCTTCTAGAAGCAGATTGTAACAGAGTGCTAGATTAAGCATTTATAGGCTTCCACGTTAATCAGGAATTTGTATTCCCTCTGCTATGTAGAGTACATTTTCACGGGTGAAAATCAAAAGGAGTAAGGTCCAGTGGTTTTCCGAGTCAATACTGGCGATGAATGAAAATGCTGATAGAAAAGTCATTCAGCTATGAACTGTGAAACAAGTCTTTCTCAAAAACAAAACTTTCTGCAAGAAAAAAAGACCTGCAGTCTGCAATTTTGCTGCCTCTTTTCTAACAAATTATTCATACTCTGGTACTATATTATTACTAATATTACCAATCTTTCACATTTTTTTCTACTTTCCCAATTTGGAATAACATTCTATTATGCACTAAATTTCTATTTCGTTCTGCAGACGAAACTCGCGCATTTATCCAGTACCGCAACTACCGCCTTCCTTATAATCTCAAAAGCAGCTCGCCTCGCGAGGGCGAGGCTTTCTTTCGCGTTTAGCAGTAAAACGTTGAAATTGCTTCCGAGCTGTGTAAACCGGATACGCGTACCTGTCGCGCTCAATTGTCGTGTTGAACCTCGGAAAGTCCTGACCATGGAGTCCTAAGTCACGATCGTGTGCGAATTCAACGTCCAACTTTGGTCCTTCTTTCCCTCATCCCTCCCCCCCTACCTCACCCCTATTTTCTGCAAGTCGTCTGCCTTTCTCTCTATCCTGGAGGGGAACTAACGACGCGTCGTTTACACGGGCAATCCCTCGAACCCCAAGGGTAGCTGAAAGTTTGTTTGAATTTGAGGCACTGACTGGACTCCGTCATGAACTCCATTTACCGGCGCAGGTATACGTACATATACATATACGAGTGTACGTTGAACAAGTGCGATCGACCAAAGCGACAGTGTATGTACCTACATGTGTACCGATCTGGTGTAGCGCGCACAATTGTATCGGCGAGAGCCAACCTGAGAGTCGAAACAGCAAAAATTGGGAATTTTGAAGCCGGATCTCTGACTCGATGGTGTTTGCGAGCTATGATTACATCGTTAGTAAAAATATTCTCGTTTTTTATCATGAAGGTGGCGTCAACTAATCGTCAGCTTTTATGTAGACAGTACAAAATACGTTCTATTTGTCTATGTATCTATGTCGTTTTTTAAGTTTGTTTATACTTAATCATACCTTCTTACAGTTTGAATAGCTACATAGTATGGTTGTTTCTAAATAGAATACTCACTTTACATTGGAAGTTTCATTGTATCTGTGCGAAGTGCGTAAGTTTTACGGACTTATTTCTCGCGTCGTGTTCGTTGTAGTATTGACTGAAATGGCAAACGTAATTTGTTCCCGGAATTCGCGTGCCATTAGGAACTATTCGTTTAACTTTTCCGAAAATCCGGTTGTGTATTCCGTACAAAGTTCGAACGGAGTACTATTTTCAAGTTACGTTCTCGTTGCAATGCAACTCTGACGTTGATCAAGTAATTGCTTTTTAAATTTCGATCGATAGATAACTGTTCATAAACGTTAATATAAATCGTAATTTATTTGCTAATAGTCTAAAATAAACTATGACGTATGGGTGAGATGAGAAACATTTAAGAAAGATGTTAATGAAATTATTATCGCGCACGGGTAAAGTTGACTGGACGGTTGTTTGCATGTGTCCATGTATACGAGGACCACTGCTGGTAGATATGCACTGGCATACGGTGCAGTGTAATGGAAGTCTCAGCAGGAAACTGGGCACGTTAATTTTGAACATTAAACCTCGCGGCATGTGACGCGGTATGAATGCAAGAGATATGTGAATTACACTCTATTGTCTTGAGGACACCATACTCACATCACTGAGCACTTGCGTGCGCCCGTTCGAACAAAACTCTCAAACTTTAGAACTAAATACAGTATAACTTTAACAGTCGAAACTTTTGTTCGCAACGATAAAATCATCAACGATATTCTTGTACTGCATGATTAAAAAATCTTTTTGTATGAGGATGAAAAATTTGGGATGCTTCTGCCTGGGTTATTTATAAAACAGTGCAAGAAATATGAAAAAGTTCATCGATAAATGTTAGAAAAATCATGTGATCACCCTAGCTCCTTAACGAGTATCTGTACAACGCATTTTACACTATT